GCACACTGACAAGATAGCACTAAAAATCTGTATTAATAATAATATAATAACTTATGTGTAGAAAAGCATCAGAAAACACAGCGGCTAAATGATAGAAGGAATTTACCCCTCATTCAGAAGTCAATCGGCAAACCCTTCTGTATACTGGCGGAGGTTGTTGAAGTGGGAATCCTTGAAGTGCTTCAGGTCACTACATCCAAGAACCGAACATTTTGACTTGCCCTCTTGTAACTTCTGCATCATTGAGCTTGGACTACAAAATCGGAGCGAGAAATAATAATGACGGATTGCTCGAAGTGTTGGGCCGGTAGTCAATCTCCTTATTTGTCAGTTCCGCTGCAAATACGGTGACGTGATAGTTCAAAAAAACGTCATAGAGAACATAAAAATCTGAACAGGTTGAAAAATATGACCAAAACAGAATATAAAGATATAAACAAAGCACCTGAAGAGAATAATTTAATCTTTTCTGTACTTATAAACACTCCGAATATACAACAAAATGCATTTAAGGGCTAAAAAAGGGGATTTTGCATGATATGTCCCCTTTAAAGTTTGTGTTGTTTACTTTATTTTATTTAAGTCTAGCTAGATTATTTGTTATAACAAGTTGATTTAGTTTGTACCCTTTAATTGGAACTTTTTCTTATTTTTGGGTAAAATAAAACCAATTTTTTGTTGGAAAACCTGTGTTCTTGTGCCTTACTACTTGGCTGTATCTGACATTTGGTGGCAGCGATGAGATGAGCTTTTTTTTTTTTTTGGAGGAGTTATGACTCGACCGCCAAAGAAAGGAGTTTCTAAGCTTGCTCTAAATGAGTGAGAAGAAATAGATGAGGAGAGGACTATAGACGCAGAAGTGTTGGATGGGGAAAAGGAGGCGGCAAGTAGAGAACCATCACTGGGTGATTTGACTGGCCTGTTTCGAGCCCATATGGCGAAAATGGATGCCCGGGAGGCAGCAAGGAAGCAGGAGTATGGAGAACAGGAGTGACGATTCCGAGCTCTCCAACATCAATTCAGCTTATTACAGACTGAGGTTCAGGCTCGTACCTCCTTTACTCCTGAGCCACGCCCGACTGATTTAGATTATCTTGACGGCCAGGGTGGAGATGCAGATCCTAGAACCCGACGTTCTCCTCACCAGTTTACCTCCCACACAAGGGATGCTGACCCTACTGTTGATTATTCTGGACCAACGTCGCCTCGCAAACCTTGACTGGAAAAGCTAGCTGACTCTGATCTGATATAGAGCATTTTTGAATAACTTTTGAGCAAATTGCCACAGCTTGCCGTTGGCCCAAGGCCGATTGGACTTTTCACTCAATTCCGTTATTGACTGGCAAAGCACGGGCTGCTAGGGACTGGAAAATGCTGGCTGATCTTGATCAACTGCTTATTTTTCCACCTGAGATTGCCACCACTAACTTACGACCAGATATTGTTTTGTGCTCTGGATCAGCACAATGAAGCAGAACAGCGAAGATGGAGAGTCCAAGTTTTTCCAGCGGAAGTGGGTTGTCGAGGATTTGTGGCACACTCTACAACGCCGTTCCTCAGAGACGTCGGATTCAGTGGCCAAGAGTTAAGTAAAGAACTCGCAGTAAAGAACTAATCTGAAGCAGCAGAAAGGAGCAGCAACTGGCTGTGGTTGAGACGGAAAGATTCTGGCTGGTTGTGGACAGGACGCCACGCTACGGTTTCGTAGAATTCTTGAAAAGCTGTTGGGAGCAAGCGTGCCGCACAAGCCCTCAAAAGTGAAGCCAAAACGTCTCGATCGCCCCCCTGTGACCGGTCCTAGTATAGCTCATAAATCCTGCCTCCCCATGTTATTCAATGGGACGCGAGACCAACTAAACAATTAAATTACACTTCACATATCCTTTTTCCAAAGATAGTTTCTGTCATTTATTGTAGTTTCTATCACGTTGATGTAATTTCAAGTGTTCGTTTTTAAAATAAGTTTGTTTTTAGTTAGTTATGTGATGATAAAAACGGTGCTCTGACATCATGATTGACAGCTGTGATTGACAGGTTCTCTGTGCGAGGTAGTCACTGAAGCACCAGCGGACTTTTTTTTCATAATGTTGATTATGTGGTTAGTAGTTGTATTTACCTTATTTTAACGAGGTTTTGCAATCAGCAGACATCATTGGAGAAGAACGAAGCAGACAGAGGACACTTAATGAAAGTGCGGGGCGTGTGCTTGCGTTTGATTCAGCGCGAAGGAGGGCGCGGCCTTGATTTCGCGGCTATACTTCCTGCTCACGACTGGTCCCGAAACACGCAAGTGCGCAGACTCAGGTCCCAAGATGTCAGCGTCATATCGAGACACTGGCAGCTACAGTTCTCTCCGATGGAAAAGAGCGGAGGGGCGTCGTCCATCTTTTTTTACAGTCTATGGTTGGGAGTCTGTTGGTTTATTTGCATAGTTTGCATAGTAATTACAGTTATAAAGTTCCTGAGTATATTGTGTGAATGAGGGGTGGTGTTTTGGCAGATATTGTGTTTTGCTATAGGTAGTATGCCATACGGAACCGTTGACCTACTTTAACGAAGTCAGTGGGCTCGACAGCCTTAGTCAAATGGGTTTGCGCGTATGGTTGGGTTGCGGAGAGATTGTGGTTATGTCAAATTTGAACTGCGAGAATGGCGCAACCTCACTAGCAGGAGGGATGTAAAGGTCAGTAAGCTGGGCTGAGTTAAGTAGGGGCGGAGGGGTGTGCTCTTGAGCAGAGCCGGATTGACGCAAAGGCAAACTAGACACGTGCCTAGGGCCCGAGGGTTGGGGTCGACGGAATTTTCAGTTGCATGGGCCAGCATTGCATCATGAGTAACAACAGTTTACCATTTGTTTTTTTCTGCACACATACAAGCCGCCTCACAAGCTTGTGGGTAACAACAGTTATTTTCGTGGATTATATTGCTTTAACAGTCAAAACCATGCGAAATGTCATATGTCAATGGGCTTTATGACCACAGCCGCACTACTTCCTGAACTTAAGCCAGCTCCTTGTTTCCTGTCTGCCATTATTGGCCAAATTGATTAATTCAGGTGTGTTTGATTATTGTTGCCGTGACTACTGAGGTCAGGCACACCTGAATTAATCAATTTGGCCAATAATGGCAGACAGGAAACAAGGAGCTGGCTGAAGTTCAGGAAGTAGTGCAGCTGTGCATAAAGCCCATTTCGGTCTTGGTGACTGGTGTGTATCCTCTAAACACAGTCGGTTATGTTAGTGGTTACAAGATCTGTGCACGAGTTCTTACAGTGACATCAGCCATGGTCTTAATTTAGGTTGTCAAAACAACAAAACATAGCTTTCATTTTAAGGAATCAGGAATAATATCCTTTGTATTTAATTTAGTTCTCAGGACTAAAACACTACCCAGAGTTATTTTACATTTGATATCTTTATTCAGTAGGCTATCTGTAGCACTGAATACTGGTGTCAGACCTGAGAAAAACTTTTCTCTTTATAGGTATCTTTATTCTATTTTTATTTTATATCAGGAATATTGCTTGACATATGATTGAGTTTTTCAGGTGTTATATAAACCTTTGTCGACCATAATTCAATCTGCGTGTTTAATTTGTTTTTGTGCCTACTTCAGTCCATTCAAATTCCCCTATTTCTTCTTGTCTTGAATGTCTCTCCTCCATGCGTTTAATTTGTCTACATCAGACTCTTTAGAGTTCGACATTATTAAATTATAATCATTTTGACAAATGGCCCTTTTCACCTCTTTTTCCAATTATTTCCTCTATTAATGAGAGTTTGGGAATGTAGGCTACATAATATCTGTAGACCTGGAAGACATAAAACTTTTAGGCTGTGAATATTTGAAAAAAAAAAGTTTTGAAGGAATCTGGTGTTTATCACACAATTCTTGAAATATAAGAAGTATTCCATCCATATACAAGTCTGCAATAGACCTTATTCAGAGGTGTGACAGGTATGAAAGTGAGGCTGTGAGGGATAGACTTACCGTGTTTCCAATGGCATCCGCTGTAAAAAGCTGAATAAAGCTGCTAGATTATACTTACAATTTTCCACAGCTTACATTGTCAGGAGTTTTTTGTCAACTGAAATTTCTTGGAAAGACATTTTTCCAGTGTTTCATCAGCAGAAAAATCCGAAAACACATTAAATTACAGTACAGCCCATTGAAGAGATGCAAGTTTATCCCTCACAGCCTCGCTTCCATTCTCAATAAAAATCAAAGATGGCGCTGCCGTGAATAAGGCGTATAGACTGAATAACTTTAGGTTTACATAGTTTACTGACACCTATTGGTTATTTACTGGTACTACTGCCTTAACAATGACACTCCCATTTGATAAGATGAGGATAATTTAATAGTATTTGATATAGCCGTGTAATGACGTATAAATATTGAATATCAAAAAATAGTCTGATAGACTGTTTAATATACAACACATGACTTATTTTGGGATAGAAACAACCAATTTGTAACCAAAGACTAGGCTATGTAAAAGTTACTTTTATTTGTAACTTTCGTAAGTTTCAGATGTCAATTATTAAATAACATAGATAAAGGGGGGCCCAAAAAATGCAGTCTGCCTACAGTAGTGTAGTCCATTTATTTAATCCGGCTCTGCTCTTGAGGTGTCGTGGGCTAGTTGACGAAACTTTGAGGATGGAAGGTTTTGAAGACCCTTGAGATGTCCCCTACTCGGCTCAATCCAGACGGTAGTTGTGCTGGTCCACTAGGGAGACCACACTTTGCAGCCGTCGTATGTGCTGACCGTGCCAAGTACACTGCAGCCATTAACGCCGGACAGAAGGAGAGTCACATTCATCATATGGAAAGAAGTGTAAATCAATGTATGGAGAAGCATAGTTTACTGCAAAGCATCTTAGTTTGTGCTTATCTTGTTATTTTATTGAAACCACACTAAACAATTTGACCTCTACCAAAGTTTAGACCAAGGAGAAAACCCTGCAGTGAAGAACATGCTTCAAATGGACTTAGCCTCGATGTATAGAAAACATTTTTATTGTTTTGCTTTGTTGTGCACAAAAAACTCATACAATTGTTTCACTTGTTTCACATAAAAAAATAATTGCAGCCAAACTGGTTTAAGCTTAATTTCAAGTTAATTGCGATTAATCGTGCTGCCCTATGAGGAAAGAAGTCTCTCACACGGTGGTGTAGCGAGAGACGCCTGGACAAGAGCGGAACGGAGACGGGACGCTGGGAAAGACGCTCAGGAACACGGGCGAGTGAGGAGGTGTGGTGCTCGTGGGGATCTGCCTCCTCTGCCGGCGAGCCGCGTAACGGAAGTTCATTGGAGGTTTGACGGCACGAACAGAACCACTGAGTTCCTCAGAGGACTCGGAAGACTCTGAGGACTCACTGGACGAGGCGGACAGCGCGGCGTCTGGTGCTGGTCCTGCAGGGATGGCCTGATACACTGGCTCCACTAACCGAGGCGTTTCAGCTCCAACATCTTGGAATGTGGGCTCAGAGATATGAGGGATATTGTGGGTTGTTGGGGTTTGGGAAAGTGTGGTGGACTTTTCCTCTTGCTGTGTGGGAGTGACAACATGCACCTGTGGGTCACAGGCAACAACACGGGAAATACTTAATATATTACACTTATCATTCTGCAGTTTCCTTCAGAAATTAATGCAGTGAGAAAAAATGACCAAAACTGTCCCAAACTGTACTGTACCAAAAAATAATGGCAAGAGATTGATTTTCTGTATAGCATGTGAGTTGCCCTTGCTGACTACATGCAGCACAAGCAGTGTAGTCTGATTACCAAACAAATGACTCTTATCATTAAATCACACTTGACTTTCTTCAGTCGAAAAGAAATCAAGGTTTTTAATGAAAACGTTCCAGGATTTTTCTCCATATAATGGACTTCAGTGGGAACCAGACGGTTCAAGGTCCAAAAGAAACTTTCAGTACAAACTGAAAACTTGTTCAAAGGCCTTTAAACGATTCCAGACGATAAATAAGGGTCTTATCAAGCGAAACGATCGTTTAAAAAAAAAAAAATAACAAAGTTTAAGTTTTATAAGATCAAAAGCTCGCCTTGCTCTGTTCTGTGGTGCACGTTCGTGACTCTCCTGTTCGAACTCGTTCAACAAAATGAACAAATCTTTTTCCGAATCAATTCGTTTGTTTCTTTCGCCGAATGAACCAAATGACTTGGAAAAAGATTTGTTCATTTTGATGAACGAGTTCGAACAGGAGTGCATCACAGAACAGAGCAAGGTGAGCGTTTGAGCTTATAAAACTTAAACTTTGTTATTTATTTATAAAACGAGCGATCGTTTCGCTTGATAAGACCCTTATTCATCGTCTGGAATCGTTTAAAGCCCTTTGAACAAGTTTGCAGTTTGTACTTAAAGTTTCTTTTGGAACTTGAACCGTCTGGTTCCCACTGAAGTCCATTATATGGAGAAAAATCCTGGAATGTTTTCATCAAAAACCTTAATTTCTTTTCGACTGAAGAAAGAAAGGTCATGCACATCTTGGATGACATGGGGGTGAGTAAATTATCAGCAAAAGTTTTTTTCAAAAGTGAACTACTCCTTTAAGTATTGTTCAAGTATATATTTAAGTATACACTATGTAGTAAGTATTACTAATGTCAATATGTACTAGTAGTAAATTTGTCAGTGTACTGTTTTAATACCGCTTGGGACTAAATTGGCACTTGTAGCATACAAAAGTATATGTTTAAGCAATAAGTGTAACAGTAGTAAACTTTAAGAGCACAACTAATTCATAATTACGTTTCTCATTTGTACTGCAAGTGAACTTAAGCAAAAGGTCTCCGTTTTTAAACGAAAACGCAGTATTGTGGACAGGGCCTAAGTCAAGTATACTTACTGTAAATGCAATATGAAGTATATTCTGAGAAGTACATAAAAAGTAGACTGAAAGTATACTTTCTTATTTTTAGTTTACAAGAAGTATACTAATAGCACACCTGAATAAACTTCTTTTTCGTAAGGGAAGATAGGAAAACAATTGGGTTGGTGCAACAGAATTGTTATTTAAGAGCAAAGGATGAGCATTTGGTGTGTAACTGATGCTTTATCTGCATTTGATGTTCCTGTGCAGCCACAGTCTATTTTTGTCTTTCCGCTTTTCTAGACAAAATAAAGCAAGAAGGCAGTAAGTGCAATGGGAACTTCATATCAACTCCACTGGGTTTGGCTCTGTTTCCTTCTGTTACGTTGAGGTGTTGATTTCCCTCAGTCATCTAGCTTTTAGAGCTGGAAAGTAAAAAGCCTGACAAATGGATATTTGGTACCCTACCTGTGGGTGAAATATTTCACAGGACACCTTCACATCTTGCTGGCCATGGGCAGGGCCTAGAACCTCCCCGACACAGAACCCAACAGGCTGAAATGAAAAACACACAGACACAATAACCACGCTATAATGGCAGAGAGAAAGCAGACTGTTTAAAAAGATATGGAACACTTCATCAAATAAAACTTTTTATGGTGTGAGAAAAATAACAGAAAATCTGAATAGTGGTGGATGTTAGGTCCATCAGATGGGATCTAGCTCAAGAACATGGAGGTAAAGGACGCTGACAGGAACTCACCGCTGTACCATCATGTCCCGGCCCACACTGGACCTCTGGGAACGCAGCGGGAGAGCACTCCTGAACGGTGTACTCCACAAAAATAGCGGAAACAGGCGAGCTCTGAGGAATATGAAATTAAAAGATTCATTCAATCTGGCCAGAGAATTCTGTCACCACATACAGACTGCCTTTTTATTAAATAACTTGGATTTCAGGTGGCTTCAGAAGACTGCAACACACAAGTGGTCTAAAGTAATTTATGGTGCTTTTCTGTCCTTTTTCATTCACAACTGTCAGTACCCATTCACAATTATTACATTTCCTGGACGAACTAAGCCTTTAAGGATAGAAATGTGGATTTAAGAGTTCACTAACAAATGATCAGAGTAAATAGTGTGCGTATTTGGCGTGCTGTCTGAGGAGAGGGCTCCGGGCTCTGTTTTGGCCCGAACCCAGAAAACTCCAACCAGATCTCTAGTTACTGTAGGAAAGTAAGCAGGTGAGTGTGAGGAGACTGGGTGGTGGAGGATGCTGAAAACTGTTTCAGGAACATAGGTGAGTCGACTGCATGAGTGAGTGAGTGAGGCTGAATCCCAATTCTCTGTCTTACCCCTTACCCCTTCCCCTTCGTCTTACCCCTAGCCCTTGTCCCTCGAAACCGAGTGGTAAGCGCTAGTGCAAACATACCCCTATGAAATGAGACACCACTCGGTTACATCATCTTGCATTGTCCCTTAACTGTGTCACCCGGGGCAACTAGTGTTGATCACAAACTTCTCGAAACTTCAAGATGCTGTCAAAATGTCCGGGATTGGGCTTTGGCTTTCCGTCTTCACTATTCATTATGTTTACATGCACAAGGTGTTGTTTCAATCGGACTGAATTCTTTCATTTAAATCGGTGAATCTGATGTTGATCTAATATTCCCATGTTTTCGTCTCAGTCGGGATCCATTTGAAGCTGAATGAATATCTGAGAAGCTGATCACGTACTGTATGTGTCAGTGTCAAATAATGTACACATAATGAAAGGCGACTGTAGAAAGCAAAAGCTGAATCCCAGACATTTTGGGTGATCTTGAAATGTGGGACTGATTGTGCAAATCAGCAATATAACGTTAACATAGCCTAGCGTAGCAAAGTAGCGATTTTTAAAAATAAACAACATAGTTGCAAATATATATGTACATAATTCTGTAGAGCACAAAACAAGACGGTCATATTTTTTATCAATAATTTAAGCGAAAAAACTTGTGCATTTCTTACCCCTTGGTTTCAAGTAAGCTCGTGAAAATTCTTGGTCTTAAGGGGTATATACCCCTTCACCTTACCCCTACCCCTAGGTCAAAATGAGAATTGGGATAGCCCTTCCTCTCATGTGAACGTGCAAAACTAAGGGGAAGGGGTAAGGGGAAGGGGGAAGACAGAGAATTGGGATTCAGCCTGAGTGTGTCTCTGTGTGTGTGATTGCGTGTGTTTCACACAGGGTGTTGTGATGCATCTAGTGCAGTGGTGTAGAAGGAGAGGAAGTGGCATGCTTGTTTATTACTTGCTTGTCATCCTCTTGCTTACAGCTTACTGCCGCTGACTAGACCCTAGAGGTGAACATGGAAGCAACTATTGTGTAAGTCTCCCCATGCCAGTTTAAACCAGGGGGGTCGTCCTGGATTTTGTCCTTGCCATTGTATTACATCCCCCTACAACAAAGTAGTGTTGTTGGAGCAGGCGCATCTCTCTCATCACCTACAGTAAATAATTTCTATGCGCAAGTATCATCGATTATTTTGTGGTGTGTCTTCAAGATCTTCTGGTAAACAAGTCCCCTGGCGATGCCGTGCTTGGCAACGGGGGCAGGACTGAATTATCTGGGAGCCTCTAGCTCAGACTCTGCACAGTGGCGGCATAGGGTACATAGTCGTCAGCAGCTGGAATGAGTGGCAGCTGCTCCCGGCAGACCCCTGTGCGACTGAGCAGTCTCGCACTGCTCACCCCAATTGGGGAAGGATCTAGAAAAGGTGATCTAAACATTGCCCACGCAGACCTAGCCTGGATAGGATGCCGCACCTATCGGGCCATTCCGTCTCAGCAGTCGAAAAATGCAGAATAAATATATTTTCGTTACATATAGCAACATGGAGTATTAGAAATCTCCTGGATTCAAACTATGGCACTAATCGACCAAGTCAAAGGACATCATCGGTCGCAGCTGAGCTTAAAGGGTCACTTCACCCATTTGCATTAAGCTTTGTATGTTTAGAAACCCAGTCATATTTTTGAATGGTCATGGTTTATTCCCTTATTTTCCCCTGAGATGGGAGAAATAAAGATTTAAGTGTTTTACTTCCTGCTTTTTATGATGTAAAAATCGTCATTTTGCGCTACAATAAGCAGGAAGTCATATTTCATTAAAATCTGTATAGATTACAAACATTAGCTCAGTAGTATTCCAGGGTGTGGGACCCACTCACCCTACAAGCCTATTACAGATCAGTGGGTGGGACTTCACTTGCAGATACTGAATCAACATCCGTTATCTTGTTTGGAAGCTAAGCTAACAAGCACTGTGCAAATAGGAAGTTATGACAATAACGTTAGAAACTAAACATGATATGGAAGAAGAGGATTTCGAAATTCTGCTGCTCGAATCCGATGTTCGTGGCTATCTTTACGAGTCGCAGTATCGTTTTGAGCAGCTGAGGCTGATGGAGGAACCGGAGGTGGCTGCCTGTCGGTCGAGAAGCCTGGACTGTGTCGAGCTGGGCAGACTGCTGTTGCGTGTGCTCTCGCTGCGTGCTACGGCCTACGGACACAGAGTCCATCTGCTGCAGAGAATTTCAACGATGGCAGTTTCTCCTGGAGGAAATCTCTGAATCAGACGAGCACACGGACGTTTGTGTTGTGATAGTTTCGCCAGGTATCATGCAGAAATTCACCAAACAGAAATAAATACAAACGAGGAGTAATTCACTAATAATTTTCCAGTGTAACATGAATGGGGTTTGTTGTTGTGGGAAGAAGGAGGCAGGAACCGGCGAACATTTAAACATTTTTATAGTAAAATGAACAAATACAAAACAAAAGTATAAGCCAGCAGCCCCTCATTGACGACTGCTGTAATGTTACACACAACAGAAACAATATATCATAAAATCAGGCCTGTTTCTCTCTTGATCTGCCGTCGTCGCTCCCCATTTTATGCTTTCACTCCTCCGTGAGAGACGCGAGAAAGGCGCGTGCCTCACAGGTGTTTCACGCCACTTACTGACTCTCATGTTCTCATCAATTACACACCTGTTCTCTATCTTCTCCTCATCTCCACGGCCACGCTACTTCTAGCTCTCTCTTTCTCGTCTGAATTGTCGGATTATTGTTTGACCTTCATGTGTGTTGGATCGCTGTCTGATGCTTCATCATAGTAAATGTTTCCCTAGTCCTGTCCTGTCTAGTCTTGAGTGTCTGTATTTTACCACTTCTGTGCCGTACCCAGCCTTCCCCGTGAAACCGACTCCATTACACCAGAGTCATCAGGTTCTCCGGCTGAGGTCCACATTCTTCATTTGAACATTCTGCAGAGCATCTTTTCCTTCTGTGATAAAGACTATTTCTGTTTATTCAGCGTGTGAGGCGGTGACTAATTTCTCATTAAAGGATTTACCTGCAATCTTCTCTGGACTCCTCTGTTTCAAGATGTAGGAAAACTCACACTTATTTAAAAATATTTTTTCTTTTAATAAAAAGTGTAAAGTGTGTTGCAAATCAGTAAATAAACGAATCGGTTACCTAACGTAACCTCGGTTCTCTCTAGATGAGGGAACGAGTATTGCGTAAGCTAGCTTACGCTACGGGAAAGATTCATCTTTGCTGAGAAGTTGAAGCCAAAAAATTATTCCATAATTTTGTAATCATTGTCAACGCAATCTCTTCTGAGGCAGACCATGAGCGGGCTAGCTAGCGGCTCATTGGTTCGCTCAGAGAGAATGCACGAACCTATGGGAGAGCGGCGCTGAGTCCGCGGCCAATGAGCGGACGGCGCTCGCTCATTGCGTCAGAGCCCGCCAAAAGGGGCGTGGCTACAGTGTATAAAGGTAGCTCTCCCAGGCTCGTTCAGCATGAAGCGAAACGCTGGTGGCGCAAGCACGGCCGGGAACGCAATACTCGTTCCCTCATCTAGAGAGAACCGAGGTTACGTTAGGTAACCGATTCGTTCTCTTACGAGAGGTTCTCTCGTATTGCGTAAGCTAGCTTACGCTACGGGAACACCTGGTCAACGCCGTGTGCGCTATGTAACCACTAAGCATCCCAGGGGGGGAAACCGGGGGAATCTTAAGTGGACGAAGATAATAAGGCGGCCAGCATAGCGGCCGTTATCATCTAGTGCAAAACGCCCTAAGGCGGCCGGCTTATTGGGCCGTGAACGTATAATGCATAAGCACATAGGGGAACACAAGGGGTGAGCCGGTTGTGATGGAACTCCCAATAGTGCGGCTTTCTATAGGAGAGCTGTATAGTACTAGACCGCCAGAATTTTAGCCTGTAAGGCGGGAACTTCCAAGTTATAAAATCTGACAAAAGTGGAGGGGGAGGCCCATCCCGCAGCCACACAAATGTCGTGAATGGAAATTCCGCAGGACCATGCCCACGATGAGGCCATGCCTCTGGTGGAATGAGCCCTGATGCCCAGAGGGCAAGGCAGGTCTTTAGAGGCATAAGCAGAGGCAATCGCGTCTACTATCCACCTGGATAGGGTCTGTTTCGAGGCGGCTAATCCCTTGGTGCGGCCACCGAACGACACAAACAGCTGCTCTGAGCGTCTGAACGCAGCAACGCGTGTAGTGTACACTCATCGTTCGCTCAGCGTCACGTTCGCTATCGGATGCAGGCAGCGCCGATAGAGAGATCACTTGCGCCCTGAAAGGGGTACCAATCGCTTTCAGAACATAACCGTGTCTAGGTTTCAGAATGACGATGGAGTCATTCGGTCCAAACTCAAGGCACGCGGCGCTCGAAGACAGCGCGTGAATGTCCCCCACACGTTTTACTGAGGCAAGTGCAGTCAGAAGAACGTTTTTTAGCGAGAGGTATTTTAGCTCCACGGACTCGAGTGGTTCAAACGGTGGGGCT